TCAGGTGAATGAGCAAATGAGGAATGCATGGCCCTACTCTTGGACTTCCATAGTAATGACATGTGATTACTTGTCCTGAGCAAATAAGGAGGCGGTGTCTGCTCAGGAAATGAAGCCCTCTGCCTTCTATTATGCTGGTCAGAAAACAGAGGGCTAAAAGTTGAACCTAGGATTCACGTAAACCAGCTTCTCCCCTATTTGCCAGAACCACAGCTTTTCACATGATGATGAGCATAATCAGAGTTCGACTCCCTCTTTGCCCACCAGCCTTTTTCTATTCTTCTGCTTAAAACATAGCTGAAAGACCTTTCCTGCTATCAAATAAGCCAAAGGAACCCAACCTTCTGGCGGCTGAGTACCCTAAAACATTTAAATAGTAAGTTAATTTACCTTAACTTGATCCTTCTTAATGTTAAAGAAGACCAAGTTCTTCCTTGTTTGGGCAACATAGCCCTTTCAGAGAACAGAGAAAAAACCTGGCTCCCAGTTGTCGAGCCAACAGGTTGAATTTTCTCTGAAGGACATTCTGATTTGTAAGAACTGGAAAATAATTCAGAAATCAAAAGCACGTTACTTGTCTCATCCATTTCTGAGTCCCATCAAGGAGGGGACGCTCCCCCTTCTCAGAACCTGGGGAGCCAGAAGCTTTCACAGGACACAATGCTGCAACAGGACTGAAGGCAGCCGTCCAGGTTTACTTCCTGTTCTATTGTCTTCCTCTGTCAGCTCCCTCATCTCCCAGAATTCAGGCTTAATAATTTACAGCAGAAAGGCATTTAATAAATAAGCGGCCAGATTGGAGCTGTCAGCTCCACACAATGGACTGTTTGCGTCTTCTGCTCAGCATCAGCACCCGCTCTCCAAGCTTGCTTCAGCTAAAACAATCCCGTTTGCTATTTTCATAAAATTAGCTCCTCTGCAGTTTCTATTAATCAGAACATTCTTTGGAGAGAATTATACTGGGATTTCATCACCATCGGAGTTCAACCGTTATGTGAATCTGATGAATTTTTATCACCTCTATGAGTGGCAGAGAAGATAAAAAACTTGGATGGGCTGATGTAAGTGGGCAAAGACCTCTCCCCTCATGTCAGCTGAGGTCTTATGGACCTGAAAACCTAGGTCAGTCTCCCCCACCACACATCTGAGCAGCTTTCTCCCCGAAGCACATCTCCTTTGATATATCTATAATTCCGAGTCTTCTTGGGGTCACGGACTCTTAAAAATCCTATGAAAGCTATGGATAGTCTCCCCAGAAAAGCCTACATATGCACGTATACACTAACCCTTACCACTCAGTAGGCCTCCCTCTCCACACGTGCGACCCAGCCATAGACTCCAGAGTAAAAACTGCGTCCTGTGCCTTTCTAATCATCCTCACCTGTGTCAAGAACCTTAGACTGGAATAGCAAGTCAGCCAACTCTGAATTCCTTTGTCGAAGGAGAAAGAGATTTTTTTAAAAGAGAGAAAGAGCATAAAAGTGAGAAAGTTTTTCATAATGGCCATAAACCTTTTGAGAAATGATGAAAACGGAAAACGAAAGGTGACTCATATTGGCTGAAATCATGAAAGTCCAAGTATCCATAAATGGATTATAGTGTGCTGTATTTGTTGGGGTGAGACATGAGATCAATATTAGGAGAGTCTTTGATGAATTCTCCTTGTCCCCAGACTACATAACACCTATCCCATCCTAAGTAAGATAAGCTCTACATAAGGAAAGACACATCATGCTTGAAGAAACCTCGGACCAATGGAACCAGAGTTCTAGTACCAGCTCTGCCCACTGACTACGTGATTTTAGGCAAGAAGTAACTTATCTCTATCAAAGTAAGATATTTTTATTAACACCACATGATTTCCAAAGCCTGTTTCAGTTCCAACATTCCATGGGACCTGATTCATTAGAGACCTCTAAGATAGTAGTGATCAGAACTTTTCCTTAAAAGCCCAATAGTAACTATTTTAAGTCTCTGTATTAACTACTCAACTCTGCTGTTGTAAAGTGAAAACAGCCATAGACAACATGTAAACAAATAAGTGGGCCTGTGCTCCAGTAAAACTTGACAGATGGATGCTGAGAATTTCATATAATTTTCACATTTTTCCTCTTTTGATTTTTTCCAACTATTTAAAAATATAAAAATAATTCTCAGCTTGCAGGTCATACAAAAAATAGATGGCAGGCCAGATTGGGTCCACAGGCCAGTTTGCTGACCCCTGGTCTATAGCATCAAGTACATATTCTAATCTGAAAAATCATGGTAGTAATTCTGGGTGACCTTGGAAGGCCAGTAACTTGGGTCCAACTACTGACAGTAGTACTGGGGGGCAAGTTTTGTTTACCCAGTTCCGCATTAGCAGAATAGAGCCATGGCAGCTTTTGAGCCTCAGTTAATAGGCAACAATTACTGAAGTTTTTGGTACATTTTCAGACCTCCAGAAATGCTAAAATAATCACACATGAGAAGATGTACAGAAAAAATTCAAGGCTCTCTGGCAGAAAAAGTTTTGGTAACTACAAAACGAACAAGAAAACTTTGTCTTTTCTTGAAATCATTCCTTGCACTCCATAACCCAATTGACCTCTTTTGCTCCCCTACCTCTATCAGGCAGTATAACAGATGATTTCACACATTTGAGAAAGGGGAAATTAAACCCTGGTTTTTATGATTGTTGTTGCTTGGAATTTGTTGTTTGTTTAGGAGAAAAGAAAATTGTAATTAAAGTGATATGTGTACATATATGGCACCTATGTACTTTCTACAAGTACAATATGAGTGATACATATATGGCAGAGCTGTGGAGCAATATGGAGAGGCACTGTATAACACTTGGCATACAGAAGACAATTTTTAAAAAGAGAAGGACTGGATAGTCAAGTAACCAATCTTTCCTAGAGTGAACTTCGATTAAGAGATGGCAAAAGATATGTGCTCTGGTGACAGCACTTCTCCTAATGCCAATGACAGGGTAAAATTCATTATTTCATCAAACTAACAGCTCCTCCCAGATAAGGGATGAGACAGAGGTGGCTTGAGGGGAGGGTCCCTTCTAATGAGAGAGAAAACCCCAAATGTTATATCCATTCAGGAAGATGTAAGAAGTTTGAAGTGCCTCCTCAGTCGTGCCTATTCTTAATTGATAATTTCAGTAAAGTCAGTTTGACCATTAGAAGTGTAAGAAGGTTAATTTTCCCAATCTCAAACTTTGGAAAACTTTGCCCCAAAACATTTAGGGCTTAGAAGTTGTCCTGACCAGTTGGTCTACACAGCATTATTTTCCATTATTTGTCTCCACTCTGGCGTAGATCAGTGTCCACATTATTCTCCAGATAGTCAGTGCTCACTCTTGTCTCAGGCTCTTCGTTCAAACTGTTTTCTTTCCCTGGCTTCCCTTCCATCTCTGGTCCACCTTTCCCATCCCTCCGCATAGGCCAGGGCCCACCATTAGTTCTAGCTACACCATGGAGACCCACACTGACTCCAGCCAAAACAATATTTCCCTCAGATAAGGGAAGTAGAGAAGTGCTCTGAAAACGACAAAATGCTCCACGAATATGAAGTGTTATTATTGTCTTTTGGGGCAACTAACTATAAATTAAGTTCGGCACATTGTTATATCTTGCTTTAAAGTGTTTCCTAATTGTTTCATATGCTATTGACATTAATAAACCACAGGCTATTAAGGCAGGAGTCACATCATATTTCTTTCCTATCCTCACAGTCCCTACCAGAGCTTAGCTGCAGTTAACACTCAATTCCAATGAAATGAATTAATCAAAATAATGGCTTTCTTAACCACAGAGCTCCTCACCGGGCCAAGTAAGGTTAAGTTGTTAAACACATAAGAAATCGTTGGTTACTGCCTATGACTGCAAATGAAACCTTGAAAGCAGAATAAATTTGATACATACTTTCAATGGAATTCAACCATGTTCTTCCATTTTACTCACAAAGCTATGATTCAGGAGCTGAATTCCCTAAATCAGAGATTTAGTATTCCACGATTGAAGAGTTTGCTTCATAACGTTTCCGAATTTTGTCTAAGGTCAAAGGTTCAGATACTGCAGCTCTCAGATCTGGTACTGTTTATTTTTATTTTTGTCTATTTTCCCTTGCTGATTCAGCAATGGAACATGGATCCTCTGTCCTATTTGCTTTGGTTGGCCTGAGTTTTGGATCTTTTGGTCTAACAGGCCATAGCCTCGGAATAAAATCATGGCAAGTTTTAGCTTGCAGTTAGGTAAAAGCAGTCTGCCAAAGGCATGGACCAGCTGGAGTTCCAACTGCCTGGAGGTGTAGCCACAGAAGATTCACCTGATTGACCCTGGTCTCTCTTCGCCAGTCTGCCCTGTGAGTAGAATGATTCTTGCCACAGTCCGCTTCATAAGGCTAACGGAAGAATAACCCCAAATAAAATAAGGCGAGGTAAGGATAAACGAAAACGTGATGTTATTACAGCTTCATACTCGGTTCTCTCCAGGAGGGTTGTTAGGGACTCTTGATGACTGGGCCTGACTTCCTCTCCGAGGCCTAATTTGATTTGCCCCCCAAATCCCGCGGGCCACCAGAGCCAGTGGGTCGGGGACTGAGATGCTCATCAGACTCCGGAACAGGCAGTAATATCTAGACTGCTGTACAGATATCCAGACTTCAACATGCGGGAAAGGGGTTGCCTGGACCCTCAGCGCCAAGGCCAGGCTGCGCAGTCTCCACGGTAACAGCAAAGTACGCTGGAAAAGCAGCTCTTTCCCGCCCAACAACCCGCCCTCATACTAGACTGACCAACGGTGCCCTGAGTTACCCAAGAGATGGTGTGATTGACAATGGGGTGGGCCGAGGGGGCGGGGAGCCGGGACGGCCTCTATCCAATCGAACTTGAGGCCGAATCGAAGGGCGTAACGGGTGCGACGTGCTCTCCCCGCGGCGCTCCGCTTTGCCTGGAGCAGCGGCGGCGGAAAGCAAATGAGGGGGAAGCTGGGCCCTGAAAGAGCGGCGCTGATTAGCGAATCCGGAATGGCCTGGATGAAAGCCCGCTTGTGATTCGCCCTAAGTAGAGCAACGCCCTTGTGGGCTGGAACAGGCCGGACTGCAAGGTGTGAGTAGGGGACTCCGGAGAGTCGGAGCCAGGTGAGGGGGGTCAAGGGGAGGAAAGTAGGGGCGACTGCAGAGAAGAGAGAACGGCGGAGGCTGGGGCGAGGAGGCTGGAGGAAGGCATGGGCGGATGGCGGGGGCACCTCTTGGACCACTTTACCGCGGATCTGTCCCAAGGCCCGGCGGCCAGTAAATACTTAATTGGGGACAAAGAAGGAAGGAATGTTTTATTTTTCATGCTTGTAAGAAAGTGAAATGACAGTGCCTGTTTCAAATACTTTATGGCCGAAATCTTAATCTCTCCAACTAGTGGGACGTGGCCGGGCGAACGTTCTGGAGACCTGGAGGGGTAATGTTTTCCACTTGCCAGTTTGAATCAGCAACAAGGCTGGGGAGAGAAGCTGGAGTTCTCATTTCTGGCGTGTTCACACCACAGTACTGGAGTGTGGCTGTCTCGGGAGCCCCTCGGTGATGTAGCTAACAGACACACCATCACTTTCAAGTCCCAGCACCGCTCAGGAAAAAGGGTGGAAGTACGTGGTTTCTATCCATTTATCTCCCTTTTCGTGAGTTAAGAGATGATGCCACGTCGATGGCCCTTACGTAGCTTGGCACTTGATTTTTCCCAGACTTGCATTTTACTTAATCACAAAGGTAGAGGCATTATCTTAGTATTTTAAAATTCAAACGATAGTGACGTGTTTAAAGTAGAAAAATAAAAATGTGAAAGACTCCCCAATTGTTTTTGGTTTGGAACCGCTATACAGGAACGTGAAAAGGAAGCCTCCAGAAGGACAATTCACTCCTGTGACCTGTTTTCTGCTGCTTTCAAGGGCTTGAGTCTGTGAAAATCTGGGAATGGGTGAGGTAACTGTCTCTCACTGCCAGCAGCACTAGGGCCAAATACCCTCCATGGAATCCACATTTGTGCTGGACGGTGAGTCATCTGGTAATGGCCATTAGTATTCTCACGTATGATCGACTGCGAGCAGTGTATTTTTAATCCACTAGGCTGCATGTGCAGGGGTCAGTCACCCTAATGAATGCCTCTATCACTGTTCTCTGAGAGCTGGGTGAAAAGATGTGTAGAACCAACTGGTAAATGAATGAAGAGTGCACTACACATACATCTGAAGTTTTGGACAAATTCTTTCCAAAGAAAGACCTCACAGCATGAGTGCCAAGGGAAAAAATTGGCCCTGTAGTTGCTCTTGTGGTCGGCTACTAAACAAGGTGTTGAAATTTAGACAGATTTTTAAATTCTGCCTCTAGTCTACGTGTTTCCAATGCCACAGACCTTAAGTAACTGGGCTTACTCTGGAAACCAGGTTGGCTGGACCATCAGTTCTCAAAGGTTTGAAAAAGCCCTGTACATTAAATAAGAACACTGTTGTTTTAATTTTTTTAGTCAAATTTTACTTAATACTTTAGCTCTTTCAATATGGGAAATAATCACAGGTATTATTCCCACACTGAATTAACAAGATAAAATGACTAGATAACCATTCCTTCCACACAGGAGCACTCGATACTATATCCAGCCTTTCCTTTCCACACTTAGTAAGAAAATATACAGTTTGGCTATAAAGTGATAACCTCATTCTTATGAGAGCTTGGGATATTTATTTCATTACTTTAAAGCCATACCATATATGGAAGCCAGTGCCTCAGGAACTTGTAAGCTTGTGTCGGGGATTGACGAGCAATGTTTCTAATGATACCAGCTTCCACTACCATTTGCCCTGTGTTCTAGGTTGGTCCAAGTTTTACAGGTTATTTTTGTAATATGCAAAACAGCAGCAATTAAAGTTAACTAGTTATCTCATTAAGGGCAGTGCCATCAGCTCAGTCAACCAAGCAGGACACTGGAGTCCTCTCTAATGACCTCTCCCCTGACCCCTTTCCATTTTCACAGCGAAGACAGTAGTTCAGGCCGTCATCATCTCTTATCTGGAGAATCGCAGTAGTCTCCTAATTGGTCACCGATCTGTGTTCTCTGACCTCAATTCATAGGCATCCTGCCACCAGTTACCTTTTTAAAGATTAAGAATTATTTCAAAAATTTCAAAAATAGTCAATATTACACTGGATAGCATAACAAATACCTGTGCCCTACCAACTAGGTTAACAGCCACTAACACTGTGGCACATCTGCTTAAGATTTTTATTTTAAAGAGAAAACATCACAGATAGACTTCAGATCCCTTTTGTTCTCTTTCCTCGCCCCGTTTCCTTTCCTTCCTCCCTCACAGAGACAAACACTTTTCTGAAGTTGTCGTGCATCATCCATGCCCATGTTTTTATGTTTACTGTATATAGGTGTACCTCATAAACAATATATATTACTATGTAGGTTTTTTTAATTTAAAAAATACAAGTAGTATAGTACTATGGGCTTCATTTTGCAACTTACTTTTGTCACTCAATATTGTGTTTGAGATCCATAGAGTATAAAAAATAGTATATCAACACAGATCAAGTTCATTCATTTTAAGTGTTCATTATGGGTAAATGATGTTGCATCCATTCCCTTGTTGATGGACAGTTAGGTTTTTTCAGGTGTTCTGCTGTTACGAACATCCTTGTACATGTTTCTTTATGCAGGAGTTTTTCTAGAACAGTGCTTCTCCAAAGGGGTGCTGTAGCCCCTTTGGTCGTTTTGGAATTTGGTTATTATTGTGATTTTGGAGGCATTAGTGGGGTTAACAAAGCAGGGCTGGAGGTGCTAGATGTCCTGCAGTGCACGGGACGGTCCCTCGAGGTGAAGAAGTGTCCTGCATCCTGCACCACTTTTGAGTGTCCCACAGGATACTCGTTTATAATATGAGCCCAGAGCCTGACTCCGTTTTTCATATAAACACAATGTATTTTTTGGCACAGTTTAATATAGTCAAATTTCCAGGAATGCAACTCGAATGTAAATCAAGGGGAAATTATACTTATTTGTGGTTTGGAACTTTAACAAAAGTGGTTCATCACTCTAGAAAGTCACATAACTGAAGGCAGCCCAGCTCGTGGTATTTGAGTTGCCATCCAACACACCTGCATCAGCCCGCATTTGTAGCTTTTGCGATCGTGGTGATTCTAAGTTTAGGTGCAAGCATCTGACTGCCGCACTTCATTATGTATTCTAGTGCAGTCAGCCTGAACATTTGTATATTTAAACATATGCTGTTTGATTATGAATTACTTTCCATTTAAAATTGGCTTCTGTGTATGATATAAAGTAGAGATCCAGTTTTCTTATTTTCTGATTGGGCAATCGTTTGTCCCAATACCATCTACAAAATCCTTTACCCTCTGAATCGTGAAGCCAACCCTGTCCTCTACAAAGGTCTCATAAATGCGTGGATCTGTTTCTGGGTTCTCTTTCATTTCGCTGGTCCATGTGTCTTTATGCCACTATCACACTGTTTTAATTACCTTGGGTTTCTAATGTGTCTTGTGGCAGCTGGTAACAAGAAAGGCAAGTTTCCATCCTAGTTCTCAAAATTGTTTTCACTATTCTTGGGCTTTTGCTCTTCCATATGAATTTAGGATCAGTTTTCAAGCTCCATAAAACATTATTTTGAGATTTTGGTTAGAATTGCATTGAATTGATAGATTAAGGAGAATTGAGACCTTTCAATATTGAACCATGCCATCCAGGAATGGGATGGGTTATTTCTCTATTCAGATTTCTCTATTCAAGTCTCTTTTTAAAAAATCTTCAAATAAACTTTTATGATTTTTTCTGTAAAAATCTTACACATCTTTTGTTGGACTTATTCCTACTTATACATATATACATATTCATACACACACATCTTTTTAATACAAAAGTTTCAAATATATTTAAAAGTATGGAAAATGGTATAGCAAACACTCATGTACTCATCACCCAGCTTCAACAACTAACTCATGACCAGTCTTGTTTCATGTCAGCCCCCTTCACCTGCTTTCCCCCAGATAATTAGGGAGTTGCTAGACATTTTCTGTTATCTGTGTTGTGTGTGTGTGTGTATGTATCATAAATAGCCTTTTAGCAAGATAACCACAATACCATCACGTTTTTTAAAAAAGCAATATTTTTCACTTAAAAACATCCCTAATATCATCAGATATTCAGATACTGTTCAGATTTCCTCAATCATCTAATAAAAGGTTTTTACAGTTGGTTTGTTTGAATGAAGACCCAAACAAGATCCATATATTACATTTGGCTGAAATGTCTCTTCAGACTCTTTGTTTAAAGTAAACTTTTTAGGGAAGGCTAATGTACATACAGAAAAGTACACAAATCACAAGTGTATAGCTAGATGTGATTTAACAAAATTAACAAAGCCACGCAGCCCACACGCAGATCAAGACACAAAATTTCATGAGCATCCCAGAACCCCCTTCATGCCGCCTCTAGTCACGACGTTCTGCAAGGTAGCCATACTCCTGACTTCTAACCTCAAAATTAGTTTGACCTGATTTTGAACATTATATGCGTGGAATTATACGGGATGAACTCTTCAGCCTGAAGATTTTTTCGCTCAGTATTTGTGACACTCATCCACATTGCTGGGTATAGTTGTTTGCTTCTCACTGCTTTCTGTCATTCCGTCGTATGAATGAATGGATTGTACGTATAATACTACACTTATCCATTCGATTGGTCGATGTTTGGGTTGTTTCCATTTTTAGCTGTTTCAGATAGGGCTGCAGTGGACTTTTGTTCGTGTCTTTTACTGAGCGTATGTGTGTATTTGTGTGTACTCCTCTGGAAGACCCTGAAGAATAGAAGGGGCGGGCCTGGGTCCGTGTGTCTCAGCTTTACTAGATGATGTGGAATAGTCTGCACAGCGGCTGTAACAGTTAACGCGCTCCCCAGCTCTGTGTGAGGGTTCAGTTACTCCACAACTTTGTCAGCACTTGGTGTTGTCTGTCATTTTCACTTTAGCCATTCTGGTGGGTATCTAGAAGGACTTCATTTCAGTTTCATTTGTAGTTTCCTGAGGGCTAATGAAGTTGGGCACATTTTCATATATTTATTGGCCATTCATATATCCTCTTTGTCAGGTGTTTATTCTTGTTGTTTATCTTCTTGATCTGTTACTCTCTGAGAGAGGTATATTACAATCTCCCACTAAATGTGTGGGTTTGTCCATTTATTGCAGTGATTTTGTCAATTTTTGGCTTTTTATATTTGGAGGCTTTGTTTTAGGCTCATATTTGTTTTGAGTTGTATCTTTTTGCTAAATTATTCCTTTTGTGACTGTCCTTATTAATATTTTTCAAAGCTTTAAATTCTATTTTGCTTGATACTAATATTGCTTCACTAGCTTATATTTTATTTTGTTTTGCTTGTTTTTTTGTGGGGTTTTTTGTTTTGTTTTGTTTTGCTGAGGAAGATTCTCCCTGAGCTAACCTCCATGCCACTCTTCCTCTGTTTTTTAGTATGTGGGCCACCAGCACATCGTGGCCGCGAACAGAGTGGTGTAAGTCCTGGGACTGTGCCTGGGAACCGAACCTGGGCAGCCAAAGTGAAGCTCGCCAAACTTAACCACTAGGCCACTGGGGCTGGTCCCTGCTTGTCTTTTTTAATTGTGGTAAAAAACATGTAACATCAGGGGCTGGCCCCGTGGCCGAGTGGTTAAGTTCGTGCGCTCCGCTGCAGGCGGCCCAGTGTTTCGTTGGTTCGAATCCTGGGCGCGGACATGACACTACTCATCAGACCATGCTGAGGCAGCGTCCCACATGCCACAACTAAAGGACCCACAACGAAGAATATACAACTATGTACCAGGGGGCTTTGGGGAGAAAAAAAGGAAAAAAATAAAATCTTAAAAAAAACCCATGTAACATCAAATTTCGAATCTTAACCATTTCTAAGTGTACAATCAGTAGTGTTGAGTATATTCACATTGCTCTGCAACAGATCTCCAGAACTTTTTCGTCTTGCAAATCTGAAACTCTACACCCGTTGAACAACAGCTCCCCATTCCCCCTCTCCCTCTGCTTTTTGTTATGTTAGTATTTGCTTTGTGTGTCTTTTTCTGTCTGTTTCTTTTCAGCCTCTCTCTCATTATGCTTTCTCTGCAGCTTTTGTAAAGAGCCGTTTTGTTTTTAAATTTCAATATGAGAAGCTCTTTTATTAGTCAAGTATAATCTGTTTGTGGATACTATGATCACTGTTATATCTGGGTTTATTTTTACAATCTTATTTTGTATTTTCTATTTTCTTGCTTTTTCTTTGTTTCTTTCACCTTCTGCTTTCTGCTTTCTTCCTTCATTTATTTATTTATTTTTTTTAATTTTTTTTTTATTTTCCTACTCTACTAGTGTGGAAGTTATTCTATTTCCGTTATTTGGTGTTTACCTATTTGTTTTTCTAAAACATGCATATTTAGCTTAACAAAGTACAGATAATCATTAACTCTCACTTCCTCCAGAGTGAAATGATAGCCCTCGACTCATTTAACTTTGACCTCCTTTCTCATCCTCCATGTAACTGTTGGCAACTATTTTAGTTCTTCCTTGTTTTTAACTCCTCAAAAAATCAGTTCTTATTTTCATTACAGGAAGCTTTACTGTTAATCTTGCCTGGTATTTTTCTCACTATTCTTCCTTATCACTCACGCCTTCTTTCTTGGTTCATTTTTCTTCTTGCTGAAGTGCATCTGTGAAAGGTGGACTCCATTTCAGTCTGTGTGTCTGAAGACATTGTTATTTCACACTCCCTCTCGTGGGAGCTGTGTGTGCCCACCAGGGTGGCCTCTCTGTGGAAAGGTTTGTTCATCTTTGCTGGGATCTGATGGGTTTCCCACTTTTCCTCTAGTTTTCACATTAATCTCAGTACTCCAGATTCCCATCCCACATTGGTGCTATGATTTGAGTCCCACACCTGCAAGTGGTGTAGGATTGGGATTCAGATTTCTCTTATTTTTTTTTTTCATCCATGGCGTGAGGTACGTGGCCAGCTTTCTTCCAACTAAGTGACCAGCAAAGTTTTTTAGTCCCTATTTCAAAGACAGGCGAGCCCCTTCAGGGCCTGTCTTTATGCTTTGCTCTCGGTTCTAGTTCTCTGTATTCTCTGTATAGTGGGTCCGAGACCTCATCTGTCCAGGGGAGGCCCACTCCTACGGTCTGCATCCGGTTCCAGTCCCCGGCAGCCCTCTGGGCTCAGCTCCTGCTTACCACTCAGGGTTTGAGTCACATTTTTGTTTATAGCAATTAAGGATTTTCCTTTATTGCTTTTGAGCTCTGCTGTGTATTAAATTCTTTTTCTTCTATTTTATTAAGTATTTCTATGTGTTCAATGTTGTGTAAAGTGCCCCCCTTGTTAGCTCTGTCCAGCATACTGAGCAGAAGCTACAGTCGTCTTTCTAGAACTAGAGATGATCCCGTCAGTCCTTCAGTTGATTTTGTGGACTTGTTAGCACTGCTTCATTTATTTATCCAACAAATATGTATTGATTATAATCTCTGGTAAGAACTGAGGATGCTGTGGTGAGCAAGATATCAGGTCTCTGTCCTCGTGGAGTTTACTATTCTAGTTGGAGAGACAGAAAATAAACCTGTGAACAATAAACAAACATGGGAACTGCAGTTTGTGAACTGTGCTCTGAAGGAAATCGAGCGAGTGGAGAGGAATGGTGTGGGGGTCACTTTCGCCAGGACAGTGAGGGAAGCCTCTGTGAGGAGGTTGCATTCAAAGCTGAGATCGGAGGGATGAGTGAGGTCAGGCCTGCAAATGGTGGAGGGCTTGTTTGGGGCTGAGGGTTAATTCCAGGCAGTGGAGACGGCGAGAGCAAGGACCCAGAGGTGGGGAAACACTTGACATGTTAGTTACTGAGGCGACACCGACACGGGTGTGCTCTAACGAGGGGAGAATACATCCAGTTAGGTTAGAGAGGCAGTGGGGGCCAGGCCTCATCTGCGGCCTCTCCTCTCTCCCCGCCCCTTCCCTTTACTCTGTCTTCTTGCCGAACTGATTCTTTCCCAGATGGGCCCGTGCAAATTCACTTCCTTTGTAAAGCTCTTCCCACTATCTCAATTCCCACTGCATTTTGTTTCTTCTTATCTGAATGTATTGTGGATAGTCATTTACTAACAGTGTTTTGCAGCAGGCCTTAAGCTTCTCTCTGAAGATTGGTCTCGCTTACCTTTGTGAGCCACAGCTTGAAGCACAATGCTTTACATGGTAGGCACAAATAAATGTTGATTGAATAAATGTGTTGGGGGGCCGGCCCGGTGACACGGCAGTTATATGCGCATGTTCTGCTTTGGCGGCCTGGGGTCACCGGTTCAGATCCCAGGTGCGGTCATGGCACCGCTTGGCAAGCCATGCTGTGGTAGGCATCCCACATATAAAGTAGAGGACGGTGGGCATGGATGCCAGCTCAGGGCCAGTCTTCCTCAGCAAAAAGAGGAGGATTGGCAGCAGATGTTAACTCAGGCCTAATCTGCCTCAAAAAACAAACAAACAAATAAATAAATAATGTGTTGGTTTTTTTAGCAGTTCATGCTAGGCCTTCCTTTCCAATATCTTTATAAGAGAACTTCTCATAAATAATAATTTTTGTGGCATTTCTTTATAGAAAACCATCAACCTGAGGTGGAATTTGTTTGCTTAAGACTTGTCTCAGAGGCTGCCCTGTGGCCGAGTGGTTAAGTTTACGCACTCCACTTCAGGGCCCCAGGGGTTTACGGGTTCGGATCCTGGGCACGGACCTGGCACCGCTCATCAAGCCATGCTGAGGCGGCATCCCACATAGCACAGCCAGAGGCACTCACAACTAGAATATACAACTATGTACTGGGGGGCTTTGGGGAGAAGAAGAAGAAGGAACAAAAGATTGGCAACAGATGTTAGCTCAGGTGCAATCTTTAAAAACAAAAAAAGACTTGTCTTTGATACTGAAAGGAATGAACAATCACGGGAGGTACTATAGAATACTGTTACCCTAGAGTGTGTTGAATAGTGGCGCCAAAAAAGATATGTCCACGTCCCAATCCCCAGAACCTGTGCATTCAACCTTAATTGGCAAAAGGGTCTTTGCAGGTGTAATTAAGTTAAGGATGTCAAAATGAGATTATACCAGATTATTTGGGTGGACCCTACATCTAACAAGTGTCCTCATAAGAGACAGAAGAGGCGAAGACAGAGAAACAGAGGAGAAGCACTTGAAGAAGGAGGCGGAGGTTGGAGGAGTGCAGCACAAACCAAGGGAGACGCTGGAGGAGGAAGGAAGGATTTTCCCCTGGAGCCTTCGGAGGGAGAGCGGCCCGGCTGATGCCTTGAATGCAGATTTCCGGCCTCCAGAACTGGGAGAGAACTGTGGCTTTCTGTTGTTGTAAGCCACCTGGCTTGTTAGTACACACCACTTCCCATTGTACCTCAGTGACCTCTTCTGTGACGTGGATATAATGATATCTACCTTAGAAGCTTAAAGCCATGATTAAATGAGATATATTTGTAGGGCGCTTAGCACACAGTGAATGTTCAAAAACAGTGATGGCTCTTCTTCTTCTTCAAGGACTTAGGAGTTTCCTTCCTTTTGTGAATAAAAACTCCATGATAGAGTGGGACATTAGTGTCTTGTGAGCACCTGGTGAGTCAAAGCTCGTACTGCAGACTTAACGTCAACTTCTGCGTTGGCCATGAGCTCTCGGGTCCTGGTGCCTTTCATGGTCCTCAGAGTTTTGTATCAAGGGAGAGTTCAGCTTTCTATGTGGGTTGGGGGAAGACAAACTAGAAGCCAGATACCAAATTTGAAATGACCCACATGGAGCAGAAAGCAACCTCTCAGTCCCCACCAAAAAGAAAGTTTGGGGGTTCTAAATTTCTAATTCCTGTTAAGGGACTTGACATTCCAAAGACTTTATTGATTAATCCTCCTACCACACCAATCATCAAAAATTCTCCATGATGAGTTCGGCCTTTCTGTATTTGAATACTTTGCTAAAACCTGGAAGCGAGCGGAAGGCTGGCAGTACCTAGAGCATGGAGGACGCCTCATCCTTCTTGGGCAGGCCCAGGGCGAGCTGGAGTGCAGGGCTCATGCATCCTTTCTCCCACAGATGGCTGGCACTGTGCTCGGAGTGGGGGCCGGCGTGTTCATCCTAGCCCTGCTGTGGGTGTCAGTGCTGCTGCTGTGTGTGCTGCTGTCCAGAGCCTCCGGTATAGCTAGGTAAGGCATTCTCTCCAGCTGGGAGTGCAGTGTAAAAACAAGTAGAAGCAAAGTCGCGGATGCTCGTTGAACATTTAGAATTCAGAAGATCATTTTTGTAACCACTGGCAGTGTGAATGAGCTGCATTTTAACCTCTTGCCCTAAGCACTGACTGTCTTATTTATGCTCTGAAGCAGAGGTGGGAGAGAGGAAAGTGGTATTTTTCAGTTCTCATTGTAGAGAAGATGGGGCCACACAAGAGATGAAAAGAAAATCTTCTTGCACTGCCTGTTGAATTTCTTGGGGTTGTACATTTGTGCGTTTCTGAATTGTTCAGATTTATGGCAGATGCTTGGTCTGGTCCCTAAGGCCATAGACCTGGACCCACGGAAACTGAGGAAGTGCTAGATGAGTTAGGCTGGCTCTATATCAGGCATTGACTTCAGAGCGTGGTCAGGCCATAAACTGACGCTAAGAACACTACAGAGTTGTGCTTTCTGGCCAGACAGTGTCGGTATGAAGCAGTGAGTTTTATAATTTACTGAAGTATTCTAGTCTAAAAGCCAACACGGAAGTGGGGGCTGCTTTGATTTTTCCTGACTATGACTGCACAGAGGTAAAAATGAAAACCACCAATTCCCATTCTTAGGGATTGGGAATTACCAAGAATAAACAGGAATGCATCCAGCGGGTACCTGTCTAGCAAGAAGGGCTTTGGGATAAAGGGAAAAACATTTCTGAATTCACTGGGCAGTGTGGACAGCAGCTCTCTGGGAACTGTTAGCAGACTGAAACCTAGACTGTCAGCGCAGGGAAGAGCCAGCCCAGGCCTAACTGATGAGAGAGGAGGCCGTAAACAGTGCTGTCGACGCTCTGTGTGTCCACCGCAGGTTCTCCGTCATTTTTATATTCCTCGGCGCTCTGATCATCACAGCAGTTCTGTTGCTCTTCCCCCGAGCCGGTGAAGTCCCAGCCCCAGAGGCTGAAATGAAGGTAAAACTGTTGGTTTTATTTTGCCTCCTGTGTTGTAACTTGTTTCTTGTGGTCTAGACCTCCGTCCTGCCCTGCGCTGCTCCCTGCTATCAGGTTGGCTGAAATTTCTTGGAAGAATTGTGAAGTGAAAATAAGGATGGAGAAAGCTCCAAGGGAATTTAAATTCCCTGACCCTTCACCAAGAAGAGAGCCTTACTCTGATCCCCGTTGCAACCCCAGTGTGCCATCATTTGCCCGATTTGATCTCATCTCCAGTTTGCATCAGGTTGAATGAGCCAAAAGCTACCTTGTACTTATAGGGCCAGAGAAAGGGAAAATGAGTTAGGAATAGGAATAGGCCTGGTTCCGAAATGAAAGTTCCCGTTCCTGTGGCCTTGGCTCAGAAACTCGTCTTGGGCTGAATTTATGCAGTGCCCTCAGGGTGCTGAGTGACATGCTTTTTCACCTCCATGTGTTGGAATTTTTCCACTTGTGACATGGAGAGAATACTTTCCGTAGAGAAGACCAGTGAGGAAAGAGGCACATTTCTGTGGAAAGCAGAAGTTGTACAGACAGATGACTTCACTACTAACGCGCAGTCTTCCGGGAGTTCCTTCGGTCCTCGTTCCTGGAACCACATCTGCCAGCACCCACCTCTCTAAGTAGATTTTTATCATCTCTCTCATAGTCCTGCTCTGGAGACCCCACCCATTCTGGTTCATTCCTGATTCGGGGCTCTGGCTTTACCATGCATGGCTGGTCTCAGATCCCTATAATCTTGATAATGGTATTGACTCCTTGTGTCCCGTTAGTCCTTCTAGCAGCTTTTCACTGAACCGCCATTTTGATTTTTTAAGTAGTAATGATGATAACAGCTAACTTTTTTTTACTGTGTTCAAGGTTCTGTGCTAAGCACTTTGTCTGCATTGTCTCACTTAAACCTCAGGACAACACTAAGTAATATGAAGTAGGTTCTATAATTATCCCCACTTTATAGGTAAGGACACTGAGGCTGGAAGAGGTGAAACTTGCCCAAGGTCATACATGTATAGGAAGAGGCAGAGCAAGGATTCAAGCTGAGGGCTTTCTGAAAAACCTTCATTGTTGAGGACTCAACAGAATATTGGGGGTTGTCACAGAGCTCGTGGGTGACTATTTTGACATTAGAAAACAGTACACAAAATTATATAACTTTTGAACTAAAATTGGCACACATTTCCATCTCTATCTAGGACTAACCATGGCAAAAGGAAGGAATTTCATTTGGAAAACTCCAAGGGAAAGAATACTTACAAATTTAAAGAATTATTTCCATATATGCCAGGTTTTCTTGTCAGCATTTGAAAACCACTCTGACGGCGTAAGTGCCATGTGTGAGCTGGGGGTAAACTCCCACCTCAGTTTCCCTCTCTTAACGAGGGAGAGCAGTGAGGGCTGCCGTATTTCTGGACTGCTGCAGATGTGAATATTGGAAGAAGGGTACAGAGCAAACACTGTTTTGAAATCAATCCGTCTATCCTCTGTCATGAGTTTCAGACCCAGGAGAGAAGAATGGAGTTGAGCAAAATATGTTGGTTGCATGGCCAGCAGAATTGCAGTTCTGATTTTCAGGCTTTGAGAACTGGCCCCTGCAGCAGCCTGGCTCAATACCGTATCAATAATACATGACCTGGGCCTTCTGCACCCAAGGCCTGCTAATTGGCTAATTAAAAAGTGAAACGTGTCGAACGAGCAAACATGTAGCTCACGAGAGACTTGTTCAGTACTGGAGCCAAGGTCAAAGTTATGTCAAAGCTGTTTTATCAAACTGACCTTTGTTGTAAGTTGGCTGTTGGGGTCCTCTCTGGAGCAGCCCTTTCCTTTTGGTGTCTTGGATCTCAGTGATCACAGCAAGGCTTGGACTGGATGGGTGCTTTGTGTTCGCCCCTGTGTCAGTTCCTGCTACTGCTGTAACGTAGCACCACAAACTTAGTGATTACAACACAAATTTATTATCCTACAGTTCTGTAAGTTAGGTGTCCAAAATCAGCCGCACTGGACTAAAATCAAGGGGTTGGCAGGGCTGTATTTCTTTCTAGAAGTTCCGGGGAAGAATCCATTTCCTTACCCTTTCCAGCTTCTAGAGGCCCCCCATATTCCTTGGCCCATGGCCCCCTTACTCCATCTTCAAAGCCGGCAAAGTAACATCTCTCTGACTCTGCTTCCATCCTTACAGCTCTTTCTCTGACCCTCTCTTCTGCATCCCTCTTCCACTTTCAAGGACCCTTGTGATTACACTGTGCCCACCTGGATTGGATAATCCAGGCTAATCTCTCTGTTTTAAGGTCAGCTGATTAGCAACCTTAATTAATTGCAGTTTAATTCTCCTTTGCCATGTAATCTAACATATTCACAATTTCTGGAGATAAGGATGTGAACATTTTTGGGCCATTATTCTGTCCACACAATTGCGTTTCAGGTATTTTGGATTCTCTTTGTGTACTGGTTTTTCAAAGCTTCTAGAAGCTGTGAAGTCATCCAGACACTTGGTTTGTGTTGCTGCTCCATTAGGTCTGTAGATTAAATTGCTTTTCCTGCCCAAATTTAAGCACTACCCGTTGGAGAGAATAGAGCTTTGGCGGAGAATGGTAGACAAGTGGGTAGAGCCAACACCAATTAGAGATTTTTGTCAGCAAAGACCAGCAGCTTTGGGGCCTCAAGTATGACTGGCTGCCAGGCAGCCAGCTGTATGATTTGGGGAAAGTTACCTATCCTCTTAGTGTTTTAGTGTCTCAGGTAAACGGCCATTTTCCCTAACTGTTGGAATGTTGGTTTATGAATGTTTCATCGGAAGTCTTCTGATGAAAGCTTTAAAGAGTCACCTTTTCATTTTGAAAATGAACCTTCCTGAATTGGGAATGCGTTTATGATTTGGGGGGTTGGATCTTGGGTACATGAGGGTTTATTATACTGCTGTATGTTTATTATGTGTGTTTAAAATTCTCCATAATAAAAAGTTAACAACAAAAATGAGCCTTTCATAAGACCAAGCATGCAAGCTTCTCATGAACTCTTTCAGGACATAAAATAATTCATCCAGGGTCTTCAAAGTGTTTCTGAACCTCCTAAATTAAGCCAATTCTTCCCTATACTTCATTAATCCTTTCTTATTCATGTATTTCCAGCTCAGGGAGTTGAGAAAAGGTTCTTTGTTATCCTTTTACAGAGGAGACTCCGGGCAGGATGTTACTGGAAGTTACAAATATAGACAGACTCTGGGCTCATTCACCAAAGATTTCAGATGAACACAGCCAGGGTGCTAAAGTGATAGTAATTTCATGTTTGATGTTTCCTTCTCCAGATTGTGGATGCCTTTTTCATTGGTCGCTATGTCCTGCTGGCTTTCCTCACTGCTGTCTTCCTTGGAGGCCTTTTCTTGGTTCTAATTCATTATATCCTGGAGCCAATCTATGCCAAACCTCTGCGGTCCTACTGAGCACTATTCGGGAAAGCCAAGACCCTGTGCTCTCCTTCACTTTGATGTCACTGATGAGCAGAAAGGTACTGTGTGGAGCCTTGTGTTGAGAGCCTTCACGCCTTAAGATCAGAGGACCATCCATTCATCACTAAGACAGATCCCTGGAATACTGGCTTCTAGAAATGGGATTGCAAAATTTTGTCCCTGTGGAGATAGATTCTCCCAGTTTAAGAGGGATATCGCTGTCTTCTTGGCACTTGTACCTCAGGTTTTCCGTCTGTTTTGAAAGGGAAATAGTAACAGTTGTCTGCCTAGAGTAGATTTTCAATCAAGATGTCAGTAAGTGGATTTTGGGAAAAGGAGCACTTTGGCTTCTGCCATCCAATAGATGGAAGAACCTGGTCCTTATTGATAATATGTAAAATTCTTAGTTACAAGGTCAAGATCATTTGGAAGGAAAGGCACTCAAAGTTCAAAAGGTTATTTTAATGTGATGATTTGAAAAACCTACTCAGGTGTTGGTTATTGACCACTCTCTGCACATCATGCCACAGAGCTGTGTGAAGGCCATGGGGTCACTTCTCTCTGCTCCAAGAAAGCAACAAGCAACCACCAGAGCACTGACTTTCACTTCAAACTCTAGGCCACAGCTTTCTGAATCTAGTATTTCTATATTTCAGGTTCACTTAGGGGTTCGAGGAAGGGTATGGAAATGTTGGTCTTGCTGCTATATATATCTGGATTCTTTTCCTTCCAGGTTTTGCTAGCCTTTGTGTGCCTTATTTAATTATTGAAAGAGTCCATTTTGGGTTATTGTCATCTCTTTTAGTCTTTGTAGCTGGTGAGGCATGAATATTCCCTGGATTATATATAATTTTATACCTGAGATCCCAGACCAAGAGAAATTTGTCATTAAATGGAGGGGCTCCGGGCTGGTTCCACTTTGGAAGTGTCATCCTGACTCCCCAGAGCTATTTGAAGAAGTATCTTCTGGCTTAAAATTAATAACCAGAAAACAGGTTGGAAAGAGAACTTTGATTGAGTACATGCTATATGCCAGTAGTATACTAGTTCCTTTGAAATTTAATTTAGTTTTTACAACAGTCTATTTGTTATCATCCCCATTTTAAAGTAGAAACAAATTAAAGCTTAAAGAGATTCACTTCCTTGCCCAAGCGTCACCTAATGGCAGCGTGCACAGTGTGGCAGACCCCAGGCTGGTGAGGGCCAGGTGTGGTTATTCCTACACTTGAACTGTTTTTATCTTATTCAGTTTGGAAAAACTTTGCAGATAAAGCTTTATCACAGAAAGCTACAAAGGAAGTAATTTCTTAATCTGGCCTTGGGCCCATAGGTAAGAATTAGAAGAAACATCCTCCAAGCAGATTGGAGGAGAGAAAGGGGAATGCTGAAATGTTGAGGGAGGCGGGCCGAAGTGGGAGAGCCACACTACTGTGCTTCCCTGGACTCTTGCACTGGAGCTCCCGGGTGCCTGTGTCTCTGCAGATGTGTTGAGCCAGCCCAAGCGGAGCATGGACTCCTAACAAGCACAGGCTGCCATTTGTCACCTTCTCCTGAGAGACTTGCTGAAGAAGCAAATCTGGGAAAACCCTTGTAATTCCTGATCATGAATCCATCTTTTTTATTCCCTAACAAAGGTGTCCAACTATTAGATCAGTGGATAACAGCTATGAAGTTTTGGGTGACTACATATGTGGAGAAAAATGTGTTAAGGTTGGAAACTAAATTCCTTCCTTAACACTACTGCTGTCTAATTTTTTTTTTTACACAGATGTAAATGACAGGCTTGTGTGTTAAGGGCAAAAAGTATACTTTGTATAAAGTGTGTTTTAGCTCGGCCTGCCTCCTATAGATCCCTAGTCTGTAACTACCAGCTGTGGTGAAATGAATGATAGATTACTTTCTACCTTCATACTCAAAGCAGTTATGTCCAATCCCCAAAAACCCCCACCGGGTTGGGATAAGAAGTAGAAGGCTGAGAGGGCACGAAATGAACTTCCCTGGGAGTTCTACGTGGGGCAGCCCCATAACCAGTGTCTGGTATGGCACCCCTTGTGCTCATGGCCTTCCTGGACATGGGGCTTAGAGGGTGTCCCTTAAATACAAGCTGAAATCATCTTAGTGTCCCATTCGGCGTTCTTTGATCAATGGCCCTGGAGCAGGAACAGTGCTATACTGTTCCCTACCTAGAGGGGATCCTGTGGCAGAGAGACTGGTCATGCCCACTGTTTAGAAGGTGGAGAGGGAGAGTGAATCAGGGCTTCTATATAGAAAAGACAGGTTATTTCACAGCTTCTTAAAGTCGGATCCCGACAAAAGCTAAATTAGCAGGACGCCACCTTACCCCCCCAAGGGAGGCTTTTGTCCCATCTGCTAGGTGGCACTATGTGTTATGTTGTAGAAGTCTCATAAGCCAGCAAAAAACACCAGGTAACTTTTTGACGAGTTCTTTCAATTTCTCACTTGTAAAAATGGAAGTAGAGCTAACATTCTTTATTGATGCCTGGTATCAGATATTTAACCTACAAACTCATCAAAATTATTACACCGTGTGTGGTTACTAGGGAATGCACAGCCATTCGTTCATGCTGCACGTGACAGCATGGCTGTTCATGCAGCGTTCCCGGGTGTCCTGCTGGGTGTACAGCGTTGGTCCTGGTGGAGTAAACCAATCCAAGAACAGGGTTCTGAGCCCTCTAGGCTGCCTTCCTAATTCCACGCTGCAATGAAGGCATCCAAATCATTTTTAAATGCTTTTATTCTAACATAAAGTAATCTACTTCTTGTTCTGTTCTTCTCTAAGACATAAACTTTTCTCTCAATTCTATCTCAGTGCTGAGTTTTTGTTTTACTTTTTTATTCAATGTGTAAAGAAACCTGCTGCAGTTACTTTACAGCGGAGAAGCAGGCAGAGAGAGGGGCAAAGCTTCATAGCCGGGTAGTAGAGGGGCTCAGGCTGGGCCTCAGGCCTCCTGACAGCTCATTTCTCAGACAGTTGAAAGATCATTTTCGGCTTTCAAACAACTCTTGAGTTTTACATTGGTTAATACCATATCTTAGCTATCTGTACCGACCATTTCCCTAATCCATATCCAAAAAAGGTAAAACTTTCATTAAAGAATTCCTAATTAACTTTTACAGTATAAATAACAAACATTTTATTATAACTTCTCAGCTTGAACCTTAAAGTATTTGGCTGTTGCTACATAGGAGCAAGGTTCCAGATGTGGGAATCAGAACAGCGTGGAAATGAGTCCGGAGAAGTATTGATGATCCTCACAGGAGCATAAAAACTCAGGACTGGAGGGATTTTATGGTTCATAGAGTTCAACCTTTAATGTCTACTTCCATCCTAATATTTGGGAATACTCTATTCTTCACATGCTAAAACCACAATTTTTATTATATTTAGCAAACATGTGCTAGACATTTTTTGAAGTGCTTTGTAATTGTTAACTTATGTAATCCTCATAGCAACCCTATGAATTAGGAATTCTATTTTTTTTTTTTTTTGAGGAAGATTAGCCCTGAGCTAACATCTGCTGCCAATCCTCCTCTTTTTTGCTGAGGAAGACTGGCCCTGAGCTAACATCCTTGCCCATCTTCCTGTATTTTATATGTGGGATGCCTACCACAGCATGGCGTGCCAAGTGGTGCCATGTCTGCATCTGGGATTTGAACTGGCAAACCCCAGGCTGCCAAGAAGCAGAACGTGCGAACTTAACCACTGCACCACCGGGCCAGCCCCCCGAATTAGGGACTCTTAACATCTTCATTTGACAAATGAGGAGCAGGCACAGAGTGGTGAGGTGATTTGCTTGACGTCACTCAGCTAGGGATTAAGTAGGAGTGAGGATCTGAAGTGGGACAGTTTGGCTCCAGTTTAAGCTCTTAACTGCTTTATATTATACTGTATTTCTTCATAAGATGAAAACAAAGGAAAAGGAGGGACCAAGGTCAGGTAATGCAAATCCAGTTGATAGAAATGCCAAAGAGAAGCAGCTGAGTCTAGTGAAAAATCCAGAACCCTAGGGATTGGCCAGGAATCTGGGGCAAAGCAGTTAAAAGCCACGTGAGACCTCAGAGAGAGCTTCACTGATCAACTGTGTGTTTTTGGCTGGTCTCTGCTCTGTTAGACTTCGCTGTCGTGGCTTCCCCCTTAGAGAAACTACTAAACAGTGGAGCAGCTTGACACAGCGATCCCCAAAGCACCGTGGACCAGGAGAGTCTGCTACTTGGGTTGGTTTTCAGAGGTGCCAATGGAAGAGTCAAAGCCACAGGCCGAGAGTGTTTGTTTCTGGATCTCTGTCTGCACAGATGGTGGCAGTTGCTGTTTACTCAAGGAAAACAATGTTTCCAAGTCCCCACCCTCCCTCCGCCACCCCCCCCAGCACACACCATCTTGTCTCAGTTTTGTGGGACCTGAGAAATGACAGCAGGGATCAAAATCAGGGCCCAGCACCACAGTCAGAATGAGAAACATCAGGTTGGGCATTGTAAAAGATGTGCATTTAGCCCAGGGCCTGCCTTCAGAGAACTCGAGGTAGGTAAACACGTGGCATTTATGTGGTACCTAAATGCTACACGGCCATGCCCTCCACTTCTTTTTTAAATCTGTGGGGATTTCTTCAGTTTTCCTGCCTTCAAATTGATGTTGCCTGAGTTTTATACTGGGAACATGTAATAGTGCCCTATTTCTGCTGTAACAAACTTAGTGGTATAGAACAATACAAATGTATTATCTTATCGTTCTGGAGGTCAGAAATCTGAAATGGGTTTCACGAGGCTAAAATACAGGTTTGGGAGGTTCTTGGGGAGAGTCTTGTTTCCTTGCCTTTTCTAGCTTCTAGAGGCTGCCCACATTCCTTGGCTGGTGCAACCATCCTGTCTCTTCAAAGCCAGCATCTTCTAATCTGATGCCTGACACTCTTGCCTCTCTCTTTGATTTATAAGGAGCCACGTGATTACATTGGGCCCACCCTGGTAACCCAGGAGTCTCCCCACCTCACGGTCCTTAATCACATCTGCAGTCTCATTTGCCATGGAAGATGACATATTCACTGGTTCTGGGAATTAGGATGTGGGCCTCTTTAGGGGAGGGGGCATTATTCTGCATACACGGAATATATGGCTCCATTGTCCATCTCTAAGGATGGCCTCCTTCCACTCTCCATATTCCATCCTCTCCTTACCCCCACTCCAGGTCTGCCCCTTTATCTCTAATACCACTTGCCAGTTCTCAGGGCTCCCACCCCAACACCCAGGATGTGTTAAGAGTTTCCCTCCCCTTGTCTTCAGTCTTAGCAGTAGCCTCAGAGTGCTAAGATCTACCAAGAGCATCTTTCCTTCCCCTCCCCCACCTCACTGGCCCAGCCTCCCAGTGGATCTCTAAAGGAGAAATGCAAAGAGTTATTGCTTTTTAATTACAAGTGCTATTGTAACATCTATAAGGAAGAACACTTTAAGCTTAATTGAGACCAAATGTGAAGTTAAATTAAATGAATAACTAATTAACGTAATGCTCCTGCATTAGCCCCGAGTGAGCGCTGAGGCCCAGAGAGAAAGCAGGTACCAGGCCCCTGGGGAAGAGTCAGTGCCCAGAGCTGAGGTGGGGCAGGGAACCTGGGACCTGGGATGCACATGTGGAAGGGCAGTTCTCAGGGCTGGGGGTCCCCAACCTTTGGTATTTTCCTCAAACTACCATCTACAGCCCAAGTCCTCATTTCTGAGGCCAGGCTCTGAGCTCTCCTGTGCCTTTTGCATCCCCCTAGTGCCATGCTTGTCCTCCCACAGGAGCAGAGGTGTCTTCATTTTCCAGTCCCTATGCTGAACATTTTAGGGGCCTGATTAAGTATTCACTCCCTCTTCCACTTCCCTCACTACCTTATCAAACTAATCACCCAAGTCCTAGTCACCCTTCCTTTGTATGCCTTTCATACTTACTCCTCCCACTGCCCTGGACTCCCCCTCCTGCCAGCCCCTGCCCCTTCAGGGCTGGACTAATGGATGGCCAAGTCTCTCAACTTGAGTCACCAACCCTTGTGTTTTCTTGTATTCTTTACAAAGGTTTTCATATTCCTACTTATCCTCTGACAAGATAAGCTCCTCCAGGCAGGGAGTGTGTTTAATACAAATTTGTCTCCCTTCAAACCAATCCTCTGAGGTAGGCAATGTTATTACTGGTTTCTAGATGAGAAAACCGGCTGAAAGCTAGTAAGTGGTGAAGCTAGGGAAGAGAAGACCTCAAAAGTGCCAAAGGAGGAACAATACCCCATCCCTCCTACCTGACCTGTCTGCAGGGAAGGAAAGCTGAAAGTTGACAAGCGAAGAAAGCTCGGCTCGCTCGCTGCTGCCTGCCTGGAAGCAGAAGGAGCCAGGCCCACACTGGGCCCTACCATGGGGTGATGGCACCATCTAGTGGCTTCCCTAAGTGACGATGTCTGATAAATCTCTCTGGTCTTGAAAGCAGCATTCATGAATGTGAACATGCCTTAAGTTATAGCTCCTGCCCTGGGGCCGAGGACTTAGGGGTCCCTGACTGGCTCTTGCTTTCAAAGCCAGAGTGCGTATCAGGCAGTTTGAGACTTATCTATTTGTCAGTACTGGAGTGTGTACAACCTATTTCAATGCTGAGGGACTTGCATCCAGCTAATACACTGGCCCTCAGAGTGCCCCAGTTAACCGTGGGCTCTAAGCTCCCGGTTTGCCCCACAGGTCATCACTGTTGTCATGAGCATCGCCTCCGGGAATGCCAGTTGTAACCATCCCCAGCATACCAACCTTGTGATCCAGGGACACGACTTTGACTTTGACCCACGTGAGCCCCAGCTTGCTGCTCCCATGCCAAGCCCTGACAAGGACGAACACAGGCACAGCTGGCAAAGGAAATCTGTATTGCTGCCGACGGGCGGCTTCAGAGGTCAGCCAGAAATGCCAAGAGCTGGTCTGGCATGCACCACTCCAGGATTGGGGGAGGCCAGAAAAAGTACATCAGGAACACAGGGGAGAAAGGCCGGCTGCAGAGAACCCCAGGCAACACCCGCCTGAATGAATCAGGAGGATTCTCCTTTCTTGCTAGTCTTGTCACCCTGGCACCTATGCTCAGAGTGTAAGTCTTTTCCTGTGTCCATTGTCTACTCCATTCCTTGAGTAGAGCTGGCAGACATGAGCACTTGGTAACCTTTCATTATCAAAATACTTAACCCCTACCCTGGTATTTTTATATGGCCCCACTCCCCAGCCCCACCCCACAGCAATGCCCTGATCTGTCATCCTCCATGAAGGACTCAGAGGGCTGGATCGAGAGTGAGGCAAGGGAGGCCCACCCTATTAGGGATGGCACGGGCACAAGCCTAAGAGTGACACTTCCCTTGCCTCACCCTAGGCCTGGCCCTGGAGGATACAGCAATAAAACCGCAAGCCAGTGGGCCAGGAGCCATAAAAGGGTCAGATGGAGGGTAAAAGAGCAGAGTCCAACTTGGGGAAACACAGAGAAAGCTGGCTTGTGGACAAGGGGACCAAGAGAGGCTGGGCAGCTCTGAGACAGGGTCAGGTACCTGATCTACCTACCTACAGGGACAGGCTGATTACAGAGGCTCAAACTGAAGAGGGGAAGGAGACACAGTCCTTTTCCAGGCCTTGGCCCTGTCATGCCTCTGCCTTCTGTCTTGGAATCTGAACAAGCAGGAGTCTGAGCAGATCCATTACTAAGATGAGACACCACTCAGCTCTGATCCCCAGACCTTCTGCTGGCAGCTTCCAGAGCTCAGGCCCTTGAGTCTTCCGTTTCCTCATGTTGGCAGTCCCCTTTCCATGGAGAATCTCCTGGTCCCTTGACAGCCCTGTGGGCCGGGCTGGGCCGAGCCGGCTGGTGTTAAGAGGCTTTGCCTCACCCATCGGTGGCAGTTTCCATTGCCCAGGGGGAGCACTTTGGGACCCAGGTGGAGCCCTCCAGACTTCTCTTCAAATCAGGGCTTCATATTTCTTTATATCTGCATGGGGAGGAGAGAGGCAGTGGAAGAGAAAGTGAGACACAGCTTAAGAAGCTCCTGCCCCAACGGTGGCGACAGGGAAGTCAGGTTCCTAGAGCCCCTGAATAATTGCCTTTCATCCTTTTCTCTATAATTAGGGCCCCCTTTTACCCATTCAGCAGGAACTAGCAAGCCAGAATAATATTAAAAACCTTGCAGTGTTCGTATCACATTTGCCTGCTTTACACAGCAATATCACATATTCCGTCTCGTCTCAGCCTCAGATCAACCCTGTCAGGTATCTAGGGATAAGCATCCCTATTTACACATAAGGATGTGGAGGTTCAGAGAATATGCCCATGGTCTTATAGATGAACATGAACAGAGAAGTCAGGATTGTCCAAGGAGTTCCATTTCCAAGCCCAGTGCTCCCTCTGCCCTAGCAAATTACTCTGCTCCCCACGCATGGGCCTTCCTCAGACAAGGACCAGCACAGGACGGCAGCAGTACAGAAAAAAGCAAACCGTCACACACCCGGGTTCAAGTTCAAGCTCTGCTGGGACTAGCTGGGGTCTTAGGCATATTCCCTGAGTTCTGAGCCTCTGTTCTCTCATCTCTAAATGAGAATATCTACTTCTGATGGTTGCTGAAAGGTAGGCTAATAAATCTAAAGTCAGACTCAATTCCAGACACAGAGCAGATGGTTTCTAAATATTCATCCTTTTCTCTTTCTGCTGCTTTTCTTCCCCTCCCAGTCTTCCCTCAGGCCTGGCCCAGAGAAGGCAGGTGGAACCTGTAGTTCCAATGGCCCTGCTCCCTCCTCCAGGGCAGGGCGGGACAGATACTCCACTAATGCCTCTTGCTTTCAGTTTTTCTCCCCGTGAACCTGGATGACACTTTCCTTAGAGGGAAGTGCTTCCCCCGAGGGTGTGCTGGTTACCGTGACCCCAGGGGTTCTTCCTCACTTTGACCGTCCGGACCAGGTCCACAGCTCCTTAGCAAGAGCCTCCTGCTCAGAAGAAGAGCCAGAAAGGCCCTGGAGAGAGCCTTGCCCGACTTCGGCACCAGCGCACCACCCAGCCTCTTGCCAGCGCTGCCTCAGTCACTGCCCTGTCTGTGCCGCCTCCACACCCACCACCACTGGGCAACAGGCAAAGAGCACACCAGGCCAGCCACCGAGGCTTGATTCGAATTTCGTTCCAGAAGCTTTGATTGGTAGTTGCTTTTTTCTGCACACCCCAGGCAGAGGGGCCAGATGACCTTGGTTTCTGAACTTGCAGCTCATAGTCTGAGTTCAGAGGGAAGACTATTTCCCTGGACTCTGCCCCCTCTGTCCTAGGGGGCTACGTCCAAAGCCCTACTGCTCTCCCTAAGGGGAAGAGGCTGCCAACCTGTGTGGCAGCTCAGACCCCTTAGGAAACACTTCCCAAGCATCATGCTCTGCTTGGTGGAGAGTCTTTGGAACTGGCCCCCAAGAAAAAAGAGGAAGTTGGAAAAATCACACTGGAGGAGAGAGGATTTGCATGCAGGCCCCACTCTAATGGCACATCAGTCATGGACTTGAAAATACTCACAAAAGTCGTGAGACTTGAGGAAAATACTACAGCGGGTGGGTTAGGGCCAGACTAGAGCTATGGAGACACATGGGGACAACAGAGGACAGGTTAGTGGGGCGGGGGCGGGAGTGGGGATCACAGAGCACATCCCCGGGCTGCCTCTGCATTCCAGAGGTCTGAGCTGGAGCTGGGCTCAGCCTGGGTACAGAGCCACTGAGCACTGACTCCCATAAGAAGTGAGGTTGGGGGAGGTGGGGCTCCAGCTCCTGGAGGACTCACCCTCTGTTTCTGCTCATGGACGACTTCCAGGCCAGGATCTCTTTGTATACCAACCGGCAGAGGAGCTGCGGGGAGTCCAAGGCACAGAGGGAAGGGAGGGCAACATTAGCAGTGAGCATGTGGTTAGTCCCCAGTGCTAGGTAGGAGGGAACGAGGTGGGCACACAGTTCTATTCAGCAGGGCATCAGCCATGGGAGGTAAAGTGGTTCTGAGGAAAGGGCAGCTGTTCTCATTGTCCTAGAGTCCCTAATGGCCATTGCTTTGGACCTCCAGGGTTCCAGCCTGGCAGGGCAGGAATCCCCCTCCGCCAATACCCATCTGTATGCCCCGAGAATTCTTACCAAGCAGGCCAGGATATCAGCAGAGATGAGCATGTAGAAGACGTTGTTCCAGCCTGTGGGGGAGATGAGCCCGGCCAGCAGAGGCCCCAGAGCCGCACCTGTGCAGAACACAGCATCAGAGAAGGGCACCGACAAAGGCCCCGGACCTCCCTGCCCCCATGAGGGCAGTCCTCCAGGGTGTGTGCCCACAACAAGGCTCAGGGCTCAGCTGCCAGGAGCGCAAAGCTAGAATCACAGACCTATGGACCCTGTGCCGTCGATGATGGCCGTGACCGTGGAGAGCGCCTTTGCATTGCCCTTCAGGCTCTTGTGAGTCCCCTGGGGAGAGAAAGCAGAGTGGGGAGGCCCAAACCAAGAGGCAGCACTGAGCAGGACCAGAACTGGGAGAGGAGCTGACTCTGGGGGAGGTGGCGATTAGGGCTTGGAGGAGAGAGGAAAGAGGGGCCAATGGTGGCTTCTGGAGGCCTCTGAGGATCCTGTCTCTGCAAGCCAGGGGAGGGGGAAAGAGAGGTAGGGGAAATGGACCTGGAGACAGAGGCCCTGACCGAGCCCCCAAAGTGATCCCTGGCCCGGGAGGTGGCCCTGCTTACCAGGTCAGCTGAGACAGCAGTGGTGATGAGCGCATAAGGGCCGTTGACCAGGGCCCCACAGACAATCAGCATTACTGAGGCAGTAACAGAGATGGCCCAGTTAGAGATGAGGGGCCACCACCAGCCTCAGCCCCAATGCAGGCGAGACCCCCAGGAAACAGGCCGAGAACCTCCCCTTTCCCTTTGCCTCCCACCGATGCCCCCAAGCCAGCCTTGCGGGCCCCCAAGGCAGTGCCTTTCCTGTGGCCTGGCGGGACCTGCAGCCACCTCCTCACCTATGGAGCTGGTAATCCCATTCTGGCCAAAATGGTTGTAGAGGAACATCTGCGAGGAGAAGGGGAGAGGCAGGGTCACAAAGGCTTCCCCACGGCTTACTGTTAGACTGGAGCCCAGAAGTCTGCACCAACCCTCTCCTGCCCTGGAACTCCAGCAGTCACCTTACTCCTCTTCCTTCTCAGACTAGACCTCTAGGTCTTTAAATGTCCAGAGATGGAGGGTCTATGACGTGGTAATCTATTGTTTCCCTTTTCCCAAAAAGTCTTCTCTCCTGTCTCACCTCAATCTCTTATTCTTTCCTTGGTCAAGAAGTTTAGCAGCTGGTCTCCCACTTTCCCACCAAGGCCAAATAGTTACTAATCCCTTTCCAACATCCTCAGTCTGGACCTCTTCCTGTGCTAACCCTGGCTCCTCCTCCCCAGGCTGTGCACAGAGAGGTACACACATGCAAAGAGACAGGTGTGTGTGTAAATGCCCAAGCTCAGTGGCCCACACACACATAAGCACATGCACTTGGCCCTCGAGGTCATACACACCATAGGGGCAGCCAAGATGAGCATGATGCAGCAAGTGGTGGCCCTGCCATTCGTGTAGTCAGAGATGAGCCCCGCCACGATGCCACCTGGAACACAAACCAACTCACACACAGCTGCCTAGGCACAGCCGCAGCCTCTTGGTCACGGGTCCCCCAAGCTTTGCCCCAACCCTCTGCCCAGCACTAGCCTGGGCCTGGCACCCAGGGCCAGCAGAGCTTCTGCCTCCCGCAGCCCTCCCTGTACCCACTGCTTACAAGAAGACCAAAGGTGGCCATCTTTCTTAGGGCCATCCAGCTGGGCAGGAGCCCTTTTTCTTCTGGTGCCACCTACTCAGGTCACGTCCCATTGGACCTGTCCCTTCTTTCTGAACCCCCACAAAAGAAGAGGGGAATGCAGACTAGAGGCAGAGCAGGGCAGGGCCTCACCTATGATGCCACCAACATCAAAGAGCGTAGACAGGTCCCCAGCCTCTTTGGCACCAAAGTGAGCTATGGAAAACACAAATGTGTGGTCGGACGTGTGGGCTCAGGGCAAACATCCTGGAGTGCCACAGCCAGAAAAGTCTCCACAGAGCACCTGACTCAGCCCCACTGCCTCTTTTTTCAGAGGAAGGAGTGAGTGCTCTGGGGAGGTGATTGGCCAGGTCTCAAGTGAGTTTGCGGCAGTTTGGGGCCAGATGCCCTTTCTGGCCCCGACTCCAGTACTGCCTTCTCCCTCTGCAGGATGGCCTTGACCTCTCTGGATAGCCCTCCCCTGAAAGCGCTGGGATCTGGCCCTGGAGAGCCCTGTCCCACTGGGCCGCCTCTCCCCTAGAGGCACAACTGCACTCACTGAGCCTCAGCCCAGCCAGCCACTCTGCTCTGCTCTGCTCTGCTCCTGACCTAGCGGCAGGGCCCCACCAGCAGCTCTTCACATAAACGGAGCCAGAAAGAAACTTGCAGGAAAATGGGGACCTCAGATCCCAGGCCTTCCCTTAGGATTAGAAAAAGGAATGTCCAGAAGCTTGAATTGTAGCCCAGCCCTCAAGGTTGACTCATACTCTGAAGTCAACACCAAGGCCACAAAACAGTGTCCACAGAGCCACCTGGTGCTCTCCCCCTGGCTTTGAGAGAGGCCTCTCAGACAGGCTGTGGGGCAAGTTACAGCTTGAGATCTGGCCCTGACTGAGCCCCACAGTATCCTGCTCAGTGCAAGTACAGCGTGTGGCCAGGCAGCTTTGGCTTCCCACAGGGCTTGGAGGAGGGTGAGAGCGCCTCGGCACATGGAGCTCTGCAGCTCCAGGGGCTGCTCCTTCATAGCGTAGCCACCTGAGCCATAGGAAAGCAGAGACCCAGGCCAGGTGGACATTAACGTCCTTTTTCAACCACGAAAGTGACCTCTCCTCATCTCTACATCCTGGGGCAGGGGCAGGGGAAGGGGAGAGTAGGTCCACAAGACGGGCAGCCCAGCAGACCAGGCACAAGGCGTCAGTGGCCCCTTGGAGAGGAGAGCAGTGTACATCACCAGGCTACAGGCAGTGGGATAGCTCACCAGGCCCTCTTGCTTGGGCTGTGGGACGCTCAGGGGACTCCATGAGGCATTCAAAAGGCAGACCTTTTCCATCACCCTCCATCCCACCCATCTATGAGCCAAGCAGCCTGGAGGTGGGTTTCTCCTACACTTACAGCTGGAGAAGAAGTTAGGGAGGATTATGGAACAGAGCTTTGAGTTCCTAACCCGCAACTCAGTTCCAAAGGAGGAAAGGTGGCTGGAATCCAGGTCTTGGGGTGATGTGCAAGTGTTAGCTTCCCGTTTAAAAAACAAAACCTCCTTTTGCTCTAGGAGCGGTTCCACAGAAATCCTGCCTATATCCTGGAATCACATGACAGGTTTCCTCTCCCCTCAGAGATCCCGCCCCACCTCTTCTCCCCAGGAGCTTACCCACATTGAAGATGTAGAGCGGCAGCCAGTAGAGGAAGGTGTAACTGACCAGCTTGGCAAAGAGCAGACACAAGGAGAACTCAATCACGCCCTGGGGAGGTAACAGAGGGCACGTGGAAAGGATGCAAGTAACCCTTGTCCAGGGCAGCCCCAAGGCTAGCTTGGCACCACCCCAGGCCTTTCCACCACCTACCACACAAAGAAACCTTAAATACCTACTCAATCTTAGTAAAAGCATTGTGCCTGCTGTTCAAACGCTGTGTCAAGACAAGCCCCTATGTTACCCTCCCCAAGTCAGCCACTCACCCTAAGAATCTTGTGTAAAGAGATTCTGGAAACCAGAGATGACCCTGAGCATCCTCATCTCCTGATACCCAACAGAAAAATCTGGAGAGCCTCCCACCTCCCTCCATTCCACAGACTTCTCACCGGGATCCGGAGTGCTCCAAGGAAGCTGATGGCAGCAGGCTGAGTGCTTGGCTCCTTGGAGCATCTGGTAGCAGTGTCCAGGCTGCTCTCCCTGCTAGAGTAGGGCCCATTCCCAGGGTCCTCAGGGTTGTCCTCCTTCTCTTCTGGTCCACCCTGAGCAGATATGAGCCTTTGCTGTAGGCACGTCCACCTCCCACCGGCTGGAGGGATAACCCATGTGAGAGGTAGGGGCTGCCACACTGGAAGAGGTCTATGTCCCTCTCTTGGACTGAACTGACCTCCTGCCAGACCATGGGGCTGTCGGGGAGCCAACCCAAGGGCCTGACATTGGGCCTGTAAAGTGACTCCCTCCAAGTGCCCAGTCCTCTCTGGGAGCAGCCCTGCAGATGGAGGAGGAGGGCAGGGATTGGGTTAAGGGGGCTCACACGTACATGGTGCTGAGGAGGGGTGCAGTCCACATCTTCTGGGTCTGAAAAAAAAGCCTTCTAAGAAGCGTTCCAGCAGGCCCTCACCTTGTACTGGGTCTGCCCCCTGCCCCCCAAGGGTAGCCAGTGTACTTCCTGGCGAGGGAGCCTGGACAGGGGCTCTGAAGACCACCTTCTAAGCCTGGCTCCCCTAACAACCAGCTCTGTCACTAGTACCTTGTGGACTTTAGTTCTCTTGCTACAAAGTGGCCATACTACGCAGCCTAGCCCACTCACAAGGCCATCAGAGACGGGGGAAGAGAACAGCAGATGTGGGGACTGCTCACTGTGAGAGCCCCGTCAACTCCACCTTCCTCTTCTCACACCTCAGATTCAGCCAGCCTTTGCCGAGCACTGACTATGGGCCAAGCGTCCTAGCTACATCCTCTCACTGAAACCTTCAACTATCCTAGGAAGTAGATGTTGTTATTCTTATTTTACAAATGGGAAAACTGAGGCTCAGTGAGGTTGTTTGTCCCGTCACACATCTGTCCTCCAACTCCGTAAGTAATCTTCCCACTCTAGCCAGCTGCCTTCTCCTAGAACCCGCGAGAACTGGGAGGCTCAATGCTGGGCCCTGTGGGGAGGGAGGGGCCCACTCACATTCGATGAGGAAGAGGAAGGTGATGACGCCCATGGCAGCGGTGATGATGCCTGGCACCACAAAGGACAGGCCCCACTGCCCATTCACCCAGACGCCGGCGATCAGGGAGCCCAGGATGTTGCCCACGGATGTGTGGGAATTCCAGACGCCCATGATGAGCCCCCGCCTGGAGGGGAGGGAGGGCAAGGAAGGAGAAGGGAGAGAGTAGAAAATGTGAAAAGAGAAGCACAGGGTTCATCGCACTGCCCTGGCCAAGTGCTGCCCAGACACCAGTCAGGGAGGAGGGGGTGTCAGACACGCGACAGCAAGGCCTGGCATCCGCTCCCCTCAGCCAGCTCCCTGAACAGCACACACAGGGCTTCCAGAAGGGACTCTTGCTGCCCTGAGGGTGTCGAGCCCCCACCATCCTTCTCTCTTGCCCTGTGGCTGTTACCCTAGGGCACTGCTCCTCAAGCAGGGGCGATTCTGCCCCCAGGGGACATTGGCAATGTCTGGAGATTTTTGATTATCACAGCTTGGAGTATGCTACTGGCGTCTGGTGGGTTGACGCTGCTGAACGCCCTGTGATGTTTAGGACAGCCCCAGAGCAAAGGATCATCCAGCCCCAGTCAGTAGTGCTGAGGTTGAGAAATCCTGCCCCAAAGCAACTTTTTTTGCATGAAAGCCAGTTGAAGAAAAAGAAAAGCACAGTTTTATAGGCTTCATTTTTGTCTTCATGTAAAATAGAAATTCATCTATCATGAGAAAAAAGCATAACTAAGATTGCCTGTTTTATGGGTTAAAACCTCATCAATGAGAAAATCAGTGCTGCTTTTTAGTCACTAAACGAAACGTCTGTGTCTCGGCATGTGAGTCAGCAAGATGGAGGCAAGTTTCCACTCTTTCCCCCTGAAATTATACTAGGGGGCCACGAGTACCTGCCCCCTACCCCCAGCCTTCTCGGAGGACCTCCCACTCCTCCTCTCTCATCACACTTACTTTCCCTTCCCGAACCAGTTGCCAACACAGGTCACCACAGAGGGCCAGCCTGTGGTCTGGGCAAGTCCATTAAAGATCTGCAGGGAGAGAGGAGGTAGCTGGGACAGGCCTGGGCCGGGCTGCCAACCCCTGCTCTGACCCCTGCTGGGCTGAAGAGGTTCAATATCATGGTTGAGGGGCCTCCACAGTCCACACTGCAGACTCCCCTTCCCTCAAACGCGTAGACACACACTCTAATGCAATGACATAATTTCTCCTCTGGCCCAAGATCCTTCGCTACAGAGACCAAGCTTCTCAGGCCTTTAAGTGACCTCAGGATACTGCTCAGCGCAGACTTACAACTGTAAGTCTTACAGTTCAGACTTCAGACTTACAACTGAGTGAACAAATGCACAACTGTGGGAAGTGGGACTCAGACCTCCTGAAGCATAGCCGGGGCCCGCTGGGTTGGAAAGGAGGTGTTCATGGCCCAAATCTGCCATGACCTGGGGGCAGCTGGGAAGCACTAACGGCCTCCAGGATCATTTCTGTGATGGCAACAGGGCCCGAGTGCAAGACGGAGGCTCGTACCTGGATGAGCACAAAGTACCAGAGCATGTGGATTTTCCAGAAATATCCCAGGCCAAAGAGCGCAGTGAAAAGGCCGCTGAGCAGCATTCCAGCTGAAAGGTAATAACGGAGGGGGAGCCGCTCCCCAAAAATCCCACTGGAGAAGAGAGTAGATCTGTGGTTAATCTCTGCCCTCTCTGCACTCCTCAACAATCTGCCATCTATTTCTAACCCCACCATGCCACCGAAACGACGCTGGCCCCGGTGACCACCAATGACCTCTGTGTTACCGCATGCCAGAGACACCCTCAGTTCTCCACTCACTAGACTTCTCTGCTTCATTGGATATTGCTGTCCACACTCCTGAAATGTTCTCTCCCTGGCCTCCACGACATCACTGTGCCCATCTTCCTCCCCTTGGCTGACCATTCCCACTCCTTTTCACTTATTTTTCTGGGGAGCAGTCCCTTGCATCGCTTCTGTGGTTTTAACTACCACTGCTATGTGTTCAATAGCTCCAAATGCATATCTTCAGTCCTGATCTCTCCCCAGAGCTCCAGGATCTCATCCAGATGCTTTCTGGACATCCTGACTTGGATGCCCCCAAAACATTCACAACTCAACACTCTAAAACCGAACTTTTCTTCCTCCTTCTCCCACCACCCCTCTCTGAGTGAATGGCACCACCATCTTTGGCCACTCAAGACAGAGCCATGGAGCTTCCTCAGTCTCCTACCCCTCACATTCAATCTCCAAGACCCATCCATTCTGTCTCTTAAATAGTTCTCTGGCATGTTGCTCTTCTCCATCTCTGTTACTCCTGTTCTAAGCCAAGGTCTCCTCAAAGCTCAGCTGAACTATTGTAAGTCTGTCTTTAGGATGACCAGGCCTTCAGTCTTGCCCTCCCTCAAATCTATCTCCTATCTATCTAGTCTCACCCTCAGAGTGATCCATCTGAAATGTCAATCTGAATATGACACCTCTGGGTAAAACCCTTCGATGGCTCTCCTTCCTATGCCTGCAGCCTGGCACACAATGACCTCATTCTTCAGCCCATCTCCTGCTACTACTTCCTTCAAATTTTACACTCTAGTAAACCTGGCATTAGTCCCCCCACACCCAGATCATGCTGTTTCTTTATTGATTTATTATGCCTTGATTTACTTGATTGTGCCTTGATTACTTAACTTACTTGATACTTGATTTATTATGCCTAGGCTGTTCCTTCTGCCTAGCCACTTCTCTACCGCCAAGCCCAATTGTTCTTCATCAGTTCAAGTATCATCTCCTCCAAGAAGCCTTCCCTAACCCTTTTTCTCCAATCCCAGCTCAGACTAAGTACCTACCTCTGAGCCCCCAGAGCACCCTGTAGCCACCTCTGTCACAGAGCCACCATACTGTTTTGTAACTAGCTGCTGATGTACTGGTCACCCTCATTAAGCTATGAGCTCCTTGAAGGCAGTACCCTGTTTATTCATCTTTGATTCGTGACAGCAAACACCATGCTTGTTATGTAAAAGCCGTGCTTGCTGTGCTAATTTAGGTCCAGGACAGGACAGGGATTTCCTAGCCATCTCTGCGTCCCGAGCCATCCTTGGAGGATCCTAGTCCAGGATAAACCATATTTCAGCCACACCAATGACACTGCCATCTGAGTTGAATAAACTCAGAAGCAGCATCCAGGAACAACTTTCCAGGAAAAAGAGCTACTGAAAATGGGAGTCTGCCAGGGGGAGGAGCAGGCTCAGTGACCGTGGTGAGGAAACCAGAATGGCTGTGGGCTGATTGCATGTGTGGAAGTCTCGGTCTCATTTCCACCTGAGGGGGCCATTGGCATTTGCCCTTCAACCTGGCTGCCCCCAGGTTAGTCAAGGGGAGGGGGCAGTTTGGAACAATACTGCTCTGGACGGTCGCAGGCTCTAATCTCTCTTACCTGATAAACATGCCGATGGCATAGGCCACAAGGAAGGCATTGTCCACAGCCCCCAGTAACTCCTTGTAGTTGTTCTGGTCTGAAAGCAGACAGGAGAAACAGAAAGCTGGCTGCTTGACTGCCCCTGCAAGAAGCCCTTTCTGGCCTCAGACAACCCCTTCCTGGGTAGGGGCTAGTGAGGGACAGGGAAGAGCAACTTGCCACATTCTTACCAAATGGAGCCCAGCTGCACCACGTGGTGTCATTGAGACTGTGGGTGTCGTTGATGGGGTGGATCAGCTCTGAGCAGTTCTGGTGCAGACGGCTCTGGAGCAGCAATGGGATGCACAGGTCAGGAGTCACGTCATGGCCCCAGAGCCCACTCAGCCCACAGAGGAGCAAGTAACTTCCCTCCCCATCCACATCAGCACTGCTCTCTCCTTGTTCCTTCCTGTGGCATCTCCTCCTCTAGGAACTGACTACAGGGACAAGTGGCTACATCAGAACCTTGGTTAAGGGCAAGGGGAAGTCTACGAGTAGAACCCATAGATCCTGGTCTCTGCTCTCTTGTTCCACTAACAGCCGCCAACACCACTGTCTTGGTGAATAAACTCAAAAGGAGCACCTAGGGAAACTTTCCAGGAAAAAGAGCTGCTGAAAGTGGGAGTCAGCCAGGTGAAGGAGCAGGCTCGGTGACCAGGCAAGGGAATAAGGATGGTTATGGGCCGAGCTCCAGACAATTCTATTGAAGTGTGTTTCTGCTGGGGCCCAGCATCTCCTGCATTCTTTCTTACTGCCAGGCCAGCCTCACCTTGACAACACTGATGGGCTTCCTGGACATATGATAACATGTATAAATGAAGAAGGTGAGCAGCAGGATGAAGCCTCGGAACCTGCAGGAAAAGGCAGGCATCTGGGTTAGCAGGAAGCTCAGACTCAGTATCCCACCTGTGTCCACTCTGGCAGCCCCAGGGCCTCAGCACCACTAACTCTCTAACTTCAGGCTCCTCTCCAGACACAAGTTCCTTGGGGCAGAGGCCGAGGGGAGGGTAGGAACAGATGCCCAGAGGCCAGGGTTCTCAGGGGGCCCTATCTCCCTGGTCCCAACTCCTGAGGCTTTCTAACAGAGCTGGCTCAGTACCAGCACCCTAGACAACACCAGAGTACCTCCTCCTGTTCTTGCCACCTCCTGTCACCTCTACTTCTCTTGGGCCTCACTAAGGTCAGGGTGCCTCCATGTATGGGTGTGTGAGAGAGATGGGGGCAGGGAGGGAGAATCATTTTTAAAATATCAGAAATGTTGGGAGCAGAAGGGAGAGAGAAGTAGGAGGAGGATGTGACTTTAAAGTGAGGTCAAGGGGCCAGCCCTGTGGCCGAGTTGTTAAGTTTGTGCGCTCCGCTTCAGCAGCCCAGTTTTACCAGTTTAGATCCTGGGCGCGGACATGGCACGGCTTGTCAGGCCACACTGAGGCGGCATCCCACATGCCACAACTAGAAGGACCCACAACTAAAAATACACAACTATGTACCGGGGGGCTTTGGGGAGAAAAAGGAAAAACTAAAAAATCTAAAAAAAAAAATAATAATAAAAAATAAAGTGAAGTCAATACTCCAGGAAAGCCAAGAACACAGCAGAAATAACACCTGTTGCGGCCCAGCTAGAGCAGAGCCCAGACCATAGTTGCAAATGTGGCAACAGTGGGAAAGCTGGTGACAGAATGCAGGTCCTCCTCCTACTCCCAGTCTAGGCCATCCACTAGACAGAAAGATCATTCTTTCCATCTGTGGCTCACACATCACATGTGCCCTCTCCTAGGCCCCCATTTCTCATCCCATGCACTGGTCTGGGATGGAAAGAACAGTTGAGCCAGGCACCACTAAAGTTTCCAGTGTACACCCAGCCCTTCTCCTTCTGCTGAGGCTCTAGGGAAGGGCCTCAATGTCCTCCTGAGTCACTGTCTGCTTCCCCAGCAGAGCATCAGCTGAGCCGGGTCAGCAGCCAGGAGCCAGTACATGGAAGTACATGGAAAATAGACTTCATAATGGACCCCCAGCTCAAGAGAAAGGGCAGGCATTAGGGAAGGCCCAGCGCCTTGGGTGATTAAAGATCTCATGGAGAAGGGTGGGGAAGAAGAGTAGGAAGGGCTCCGAAGCCATTTCCATCCCTCAACTCCAAGAACCCAAGAGACAGGACACTGGAGGCTCACTCTGCCTTCTCTAGGGATCTGCCTCCAAACCCCAAACTCACTTCCCCGAACATGTCATGAAGGCTACCATTTGTGAAATAAAGGGGTATTTCAGCAGAGCCCGAATTTAGGTTGGGGTCCCAGGCGCCTTCTCACTTCACCCCTTTCTAGCTGGGCTCTCTGTCTCCATGCTCTCCACTGCCCAACAGGGTATCTTTTTAAAAGAATGAAGGTACACATGCTCCCCCTCCATTACCTGGCTTAACGTTTTCCAGTGGCTCTCCATTCCATTAAGAACAGAGTTCCAACTATTTAGTCTGGATTTCATGCTCCTCTACAACCCAGCCTCTCTGGCTATCAGTTCCTGGAGGTGCGTGGGTGGATCACAGAGGTTCTCCAGGGAATCTAGGGTTACTCCAAGTGACTGTCCCAGTGATTGACATCAGCAAGCGTAGTGGAAGCAATTTAGGGTCCTTCCAATTGGCATATGGCTCATGGACTCCTAGTTCAGGGACTTCTAGAATCTGGGAGAGATTCTCTGAATTTGGAGAGGGTGCCCAGTTGGCCTTCTTCAAAGAGCAATGAATGGAAGAAAACCACAGCCCTACAGATGACACCAATCCAGTGCCCTGCCTGGGAAAAAGCTGAAAGCTTTGAGTGATGCCTCTAATTTACTGTGTAATCAAATGCAAGTTGCTAAACCTTTTTTGCCTCTGATTTCCTCATCATGTGCACATGGATGACAGCACCAACCACATCTATCTCAAAGACAGTTGAACACAATATTACTCTCACCCTAGTCCCTAGGTCCCTGCTGTACCACCTTTAAGACCGTTAGGGCTCAGCTGAACCTCTCTAGGCTGCCACATGGATGCAGGCACTGACCATGGTGACAAATCAGATCCACTCTGGGTATGAAAGATCCCTGAGTCCCTAGCTCTGACTCTTCTCCCATAACAGGTGTGGCAGTGAGGCCCTTGCCACCCATGGCGGCTGGTGTTGCCTGGGAAGCCAGGCTGCAACTCAGTAGACATGCTGAGCCCTCTTAGAAGCTGGTCAGAGTCAATGAGGTGCCCAAAGGTATAGCTTGGCTGCCAGCCACCCTTCTCCTCCCACCCCCAACTCCCCACCACCACACTGCTTCAACCCCAAGCACCAGGACCCGCCCAGCTAGGAGGGACCTCAGACCACTCTCCCTTGACTTTCTCCTGCCTCTGGTCACAGGTGGTCTCCTTATCTGCTTCATCTGGAGTCCTCTCCCTCTCAACCATGGGTAGGAGGAGCTGTGACAGAACAGCAGACACATTCATGCCCCTTTCTGACATCCTGATTCTCTCTGGCAGAAACAAGACTGCTCTCCTATCTACATCCGTCCACGTCCCTACCATGTGTCAGGCTCTGTGCTAGGGATCCAGCAATAAGCAAGAGAAGTTGTAAGAGAGATCTCTGCCCTCCAGAGGCTCACAGGTCAGTGGGGAGACAAACAGAATTGGTGTGACAGTATTATAACAGAGGGCAGCCCTGCATGACATGGAAGCAAAAAGGAGGGACACTGAGCTCAGCGGGGATGGCAGCAGTGTCAAAAAAGGATTCCTAGAAGTAAGGCTTTACTGGAATCTTCAAAAACAAGTGGGAAGTGGCCAGGTCAACCAGGGCTGGGGCAGGGAGCATGTGCCAGGAAGAGGGAACTGCATATGCAAAAGCATAGAGGCATGAAATAAACTACCTGTTTGGGGAATTCTACACAGTTCAGGATATATAGAAGGTGGGGCTGAGCCAAGCATAGAAGGAGAGTGGCTGGGAAGGAAGCAGGGAACAGGTCATGTAGGGCCTTAGGTGCCAAGTTGTGAAGTTTAGATTTTCTCTAGAGGGTGATGGGAAGTCATTGAAGGGGGTTGGGATTTTCTAGGTCAGAGAGTTCTGGGCACAACCCAAGCTAAGCCAGGCGAAGACCCAGGGCTCTGCCCTGTTGATTATTTTGGGAAGCCCAAGATAGGCTTCCTCACAGAAGGCAGGGCCAGTTCCCTCTGCCTTTTCCATTCTGCCAGCCACTCCACGGGCACACAGCAACACCATAAGGAGCCCGTGGGTGCTGCATCTCAGGGAGTTGATGTCTATATGATAAAAGAGCAAGAACTTAGGAATCAGGCAAAACCTGGCTTCATTCCTTAAACCTGTTTGCTTATCTGAATAGTACATCACCATTCTCAGAGGGCTAGTGATAAGTTAATGGAGGATGCATACATCAGGTCTTACTGTCCCCGACACCCCGTGGGGACTTAAAAATGGCAACTAGTATTATTTCAGATTTTTAGATGAAGAAGAGCAGCTAGCTGGAGGGGGCCGAGGCTGCCCATGCTGCTCTATGTGTTGGCACCAAACTCCTCCGGGTGGTGGGGGTTCCAGGTGCTGGATTCATGGGGCAGGTAGGGACTTGGAGGCAAGCACAGCTCCCTCTTCCCTACTTCCCCAGTCTACCCATACCTGGGCTAGATGGACACAAAGATCCCCTAAAGCTACTAGTGCCCTCACCTTGCCTGAGGTAGGTTCCAGTGCAGATAGAGGAGCCTACAATGGGACAGAGCAGAGCCTTGGCCTCCTGTGACCTGCCCACATGCTCCCTCAGGAGCAGACAGGGAGGATCAGCAGAGGATCACACTGATATCCTAACCTGTGAGATTCTAGCCTGCCCTCCGCCAGGGGCCTGATTTGACCTTTCTCCCAGCTCTGACCCCAACCTCCAGTAGAAAACATGACACCCAAGATAGCAAGTGAGTCATGATTCCCGGGGTGGGCAGGAGGTCCTCAAATGTGCTATGTGATGCTGGGCCTGGCACTGGCCTTCTCTGGGATTTCCTGCCTGGACTCCAGAGAGATGGAGAGATGAACTCAAAGTCCAATAGCTAGTCGGGCAGATCAGCCCAGGAGCCAGGCCTTCTCTTAGTCCAATCCTCTTTCCATTCCTCTCTGGCAGCTGTTCTAAGAAAAAGGCTAAGGTGCCATAGTTCAAAGGGGATAGGTGACATTTGTCAAATTAAGGGCTAGGCTAAACTGTGGTCAAGGCTGACAAACTCGCAGTAACTCACAGGAAAGACAGCTGACGTGCTCCTGCAGTGTGTAGAACCCGAAGGTTTCACTTCCCTTCTCACAAGCCATCCTTCAGAATCAAGAGGCCCGAGAAAGGGAGCAGGTGGAAAAATATACACAGCTGGGCCTTGCATCACTAGCCCCAGGGTGGCTGTGAAGGGGGAGGGATGGCAGTCCAGGTGCTGGACCAGGCTGGCAAGCAGGCCAAGGACCAAGGACCGTGCGGGCAAGGCCCCTAGACTGCTCCAGGTGGGGCTGGCTGCCCTATGACCCTATAAATCTTTGCTAACAAGAAGTGGCACTTCTTAGAGTCCCACTTCCCCCTACCTGACATCAGTTACTGAGTAACCAAGTCAGATAGAGAGGTGAACTAGCTATCTCTTAATTACTATCTGACAGTCCAGTTATTAAAAGAGTACGAAAATAGCTTTATCGATCTTGTTAAGACTTTGCACTAGGAATGCTTCCAAGGTACCACAAGGAACAATGTGTCCCAAAGCCCCAACAGATAAAAAAAAAACAAACAAAAACCCTAACGGACCTACTAGCACCAACAGTACAACAAAAAACAGCACAGCAAGGGGACGCTGACCTTAGGAGATGCTGGAAAGAGATCCTCT